CGAGCCGTATCACGCGGCGCGCGCTCGAGATGTACTGCCGCGACAACGATGTCGACGACGTGGTGCAGTTCGTGGAGGCCGACACGGCGGCGGCGGCCGTGGGCGAGCCCGTCGACCTGGTGTTCGGCGAGCCCTTCTTCTACGGCTCCGTGCTGCCCTGGCATGACCTGCACTTCTGGTACCGCAAGCAGCAGCTGGCCGCCCTCTGCTCGGAGAAGACCAAGGTGAGCCGGCGCTGGTGCTCACCGCAGCTGGCGGGCACGTCACGCACGGACGGCACCTGAGGGAGCTCGTCGCCGCTGCGCCTGCGTGCGGCGCTCGATCAGCGCGTCTGGGGCGGTGGCAGTGCTGTGGCAGGCAGCGCCGGCACGTGGTGGGGTTCGCGGAATGTTGACTGCATTCACACAACTTTTCGGCGTAGCCAGTATTGGTGTGCCACAAGGTTTTGTCAATGCTGGTGCTTTCCGAGCCTGGTTGGTTGTGTAGCGATGCCTATGTACTAGATGGCACGGTGATGTCAGTCTGCACACGCCGCCGACTCGGCGATTATACCAGTTTCTTATAACAAGCTTGCATCTCCAGTGCCTGCACACGCTTGGTGGCTGCCAAGCGCCTCGTGCTCGACGATTTAAAGGAAATGCTCAGCATTTGAATGTACTTAACCAAGCATCAGGTGTGATGAAATCAGTTCACTTTTAATTATTGGTATACTTTGAATGGAAGCAGCTGCTCTAGGCAACACAATTTATCTGTTCAGTAACTATGCTGCCCAACATGCCACTGTTTGATTGCATCATGGAATGCTCACATGACACCTCCCACTTGTAGTTCTTCAATCTCCCAAGGAATGGCGGCGCGAGCTGGAAGTGTTCGATGTTAGAAGACCGTTATGTGTTCATGTTTTGGCCCCGTCTTGTGGAGGCCTTTCTTATTTATCCATGAGTTTAAGATGCTTCCTTGTATTGGTATTTTCGGTCGTAGCGCTATTCTTAAGTTAGTCGATTAAAAATCTTATATCCGTAATAACTGGAAAGAATGTATAACTTCTTGCATGATGTAGCACAAAACGTAACTGACGTGTTCGTGCCCACTTTCATCCCTCTTATCCTCTGTTTTCCCTCACCCTGCACGCTGGCGCCACCCCGCTTGCCGGCGGCAGGCTGCGTACGGGCCGTAAGTCGCGATCGGGCCGAGAGTTCCGTGGGAGAGGGACCCCGACCGGACATCAGCGCACATGCGCGGCTTATGATCAGCGGCTGCCCCCCCCCCCCCTCCCCCCAGGCGCATGTAAGTCTGCCAGACCGTTAACCATTTCCCTTCATCCCATAGCCCTGAAATGATAAGTTCTGGTCGAGAGGGTTCTAATAGAAAAACCAATCTTACGTGTTAATGTTGCATAACCGACAGAGCCTCATTTGAGAACTAGTTTACGGCCGTTGTGTTTGGTAATTGTGCTCACGATTGTAAGACTTGAACGACACGGGAACAATATTCTTTTTAACGCTATACGCTGCATAGGCAGCGGTATGGTGGGCTTTGTATGACGGCATGATGGCAGCATGGATTCCTGGGTAACCTTGAAGCTGTTTTGCGTGAAATAGTCCTCGCATGTTCGCGAACGTTTAGGTCAGAAACTAGGGGATTGTAGGGTAGAAGGGCAGGACTGAGATGTGCCGAGTAATTTTCAGGATGTCTATTTTAATTCAAAACCCCATACAAATGTAAGGACACTCCCTTCAGAACCGGGCTGTGTTCGAACGGTCACATGCGGCGTGAAGTCGTCCCAACTTCTTTGTCTGTGACTGCTATAAACTGGTCACGTTCCGTGGTCATAACACTCGCCCAATTTGTTTATTTTGTCGCTCTGTGCTTCGCCGTTTTCGCTGGCTTAGCGCACGTTGAATGTGGTCTTAAGACGGTCCTTTACTACTGTGGTTGCTTTATTTGTGGCTGATTAATCCCCGGAGGCTGCCAGCCGGCCGTCAGTACACTTGGGCCCAGGCCGGTGTGGGTCGGGCGGCGTCTGCACGGTTCGCCGTCCTGAGGCTCGCCTGACGTCGCGTGCCGCTTGGCAGACGATCCCGCACTCCGCCGAGCTGCGCTGCGTCGGTGTCGAGTACAGGGACCTGTGGAAAATCCGGGCGCCGCTCGGTGCCGTCGAGGGCTTCAAGATGGACATCTTCGATGACCTGATCGAGGTGAGTGTCAGCCGAGACGTGCGCCTGCCTTTTCTCTCTCTCTCCTCTCTCTCTCTCTCTCTCTCTCCTCTCTACTCGTCCTCTCCTCTCTCGCTCTCTCTCTCTACTCTCTTCTCTGCTTCTCTCCCTCACCTACTCTCTCTCTCCTCATCTCTCTCTCTCTCTGTCTCTCTCTCCTCTCTACTCTCTCTCTCTCTCTCTCTCTCTCTCTCTCTCTCTCTCCTCTCTCTCTCTCTCTCTCTCTCTCTCTCTCTCTCTCTCTCTCTCTCTCTCTCTCTCTCTCTCTCTCTCTCTCTCTCTCTCTCTCTCTCTCCTCTCTCTCTCCTCTCTCTCTCTCTCTCTCTCGCTCTCCTCTCTCTCTCTCTCTCTCTCTCTCTCTCTCTATCTCTCTCTCTCTCTCTCTCTCTCTCTCTCTCTCTCTCTCTCTCTCTCTCTCTCTCTCTCTCTCTCTCTCTCTGCAGCATCCACCGCCGTGTGGTGCATGCTAGGATCCCGCGCTCTAGCCGGAAGAAGCGCAAAGCTCATCCGAAAAAAGTTTTTACCGCTGTCGTGTGGTTTGTAATCAGACGTACAGTCGCATGCAGGGAACGCGATCCATTTACTTGCTGTCAGTGGTGTGCACTGGGATGAGCCAGAATAGCATGTACTAGGCTGACGTGACGGGGCAGTCTCCAGTGTTCTGTAATGATCTGACGCTGTGTCCGCACAGTCGGCCTGCCAGGTGGCGGACGCGCCCTGTGAACCTCACCCGCTCTGGGAGTACCCGGCTCGGGCGCTGACCGAGCCGCGCACGCTCGCCACGCTGCCGCTGGCCGACAGCGCGCCCTCTGACCTCCAGCTGACCGGCCATCTGGACGTGACGGCGTGAGTGACCTCTGCCCAGCCCCGCTCTGGCCTACACCGCGCCGCCGGCCGGGCGCTGCTCACACGTCCGCCGTCCTCTTCCGAACGCTTCTTGACTTGGTCATGTTATTAGCTTTGTTTTGTTCAGGATATATTTAACGTAAGTGTGGCCGCGACGGTTAAGTGCGGTTTTTGTTCGTGACAACGGGCATCTCCTCGGCTGTAATCCAGTACTGCGCGGGGCAACCCGAGCCCTACAAATCGGCTTGTGTGCTTAATTGTGACGAGTGCGCCGAACCCACTGTCTTGTGTTCCCATCTTTCCATGCTCAAACTGGCGCGACGTGGCCACGTTTGAGGCTGGCCTGTGCGCGAGAGGCGGGGCCGCGCGGGTGTGTCGCATCTGGGCCGATCGGTGACGGACGTGGCCGGCCCGTGTCGGCAGGGAGGGCAGCTGTAACGGCGCCGCGCTCTGGATGGAGTGGCTGCTGGACGAGTCCGGCGAACACCGGCTCAGCGCCGGCCCCGTGCAGCCGGTGGAGCCGGGCGCCGCCGTCGCATGGGACCGCTACGGCCGGCAGGCGGCGCTGCTGCTGCGCCAGCCGCGCCCCGTCCGGCCCGGACACCGGCTCCGCTTCGAGCAGCGCTTCACGGCCAAGGACGGCGAGCTGCAGCTGCAGCTGGACGTGGAGCCGTGAGCGGCTGTGGCGGACTGACGGCCGAGCCGGGGCTGGGAGCGGCCGGCGGGGCTGCGCCGCTCGCCAAGTGCCGCGGACACACCGCATGTGGTGGTGTGGGCACACCGCGTGCTGTGGCGTGGACGCGTCGTGTGCTGGCTGCGTCTACAGCGGACACATCACTGCCCTGCTACGTGAGGACGATCCGTGCTAGCTATGCTGCGTGAGGACGGTCCGTGTCAGCTGTGCTGCGTGAGGACGGCCCGTGTCAGCTGTGCTGCGTGAGGACGGTCCGTGTCAGCTGTGCTGCGTGAGGACGGTCCGTGTCAGCTGTGCTGCGCGAGGACGGTCCGTGCCAGCTGTGCTGCTCGAGGACGGTCCGTGTCAGCTGTGCTGCGTGAGGACGGTCCATGCCAGGACAACATCCGCTAAGCGTATGTCATCCCCGCGGCGGCCGGGAGGCCTGCCGAACCATCAGCTGACCCTCACTGGGCGTAGGGAGGAACCATAAGCTGACCCGCACTAGGCGTAGGGAGAAACCATAAGCTGACCCTCACTGGGCGTAGGGAGGAACCATAAGCTGACCCGCACTGGGCGTGGTGAGAAACCATGAGCTGACCCACACTGGGCGTACGGAGGAACCATAAGCAGACCCGCGCTGGGCGTGCGTAGGACCGACCTCTGTCCAGTCAGCTCGGTGTCAGTCGTGCCAACACAGCGCTGGGCATTCGTTGGCGCCTGTTGATTTATGTGGGATTCGGTGTAATCTGGTGGTCCATTATGTCGACGATGGTGTTTTTGATCTTTTGTAAAATAAAACTGTTGATCTTTCGGGATAATTTCGCGGTGCATTTCGGGCAGTCACTCAGCTGGGTATCTGCGAATAACATAACCGAAACGTCGCGTTGTGTGCTTGTATCAGTTTTAGTGAGTACAAATGGGCATGCCTAGTGACAGCGCTGGGGGCAGGCTGCGAGGAAAGACGGAGAGAAACGATAAACAACCATCGCCCCGGACGAGGGCCGATTCACCGCGAGCCTGCCGGGCCTTGAGAAACGGTAAACACCGTTCACACGACCTGGACCGCCCAGACACGGGCCGCGGTCCGCTGGGCGGTCGGGAGCTGCCGAGATGGCAGAAGAGACGCCTGGAGCGGCGACAATGGCAGGCGGCTGTTCGCTGGAGCGGTTCGGAGCTCTGGGTCGGCTCAAGGCTGGTCAGCGCGGTGAGGGTTTCAGGAGACGGCGGATCTCCGCCAGTGCGGCTGCCGGCAGCTGACGCCGCCGCAAAGCTGTATGCAGTCGCAGGGCAATTCTACACCGCGCAACCAAGCGAGGGTTTCGCCCGCGACCGCCAGATAGTGCTGTGCACATCAGACTGACCCAGATTTCACACTCAGCTCCGTGCGAAACCAGCACGGCCCGTGTTTCACTGACCGTCCTCACGCGGCACTGCAACTCCCAGACATCGCACCCAGCTCCCAAAGCCATGCTGCCCACTGACGCAACGCAGCATTGGCGTGTGCGCAGCATTGGCGTAAGCAAGCAATAAAGCACGGAAGCAGTTGGACATATTGTACACATTGGACATATTGTACATAAGTCTGTGCTTATCAATCCGTTTTTTGTCTAGCCATCATTCATGAAAAAGCGACCAGAAGTGTCCGTCCCAATCCACCGTGGCGTATAAAACTGTATATCTACGGTGCGTTGTCCATCGTTGACTTCATGCGCTTGGATAGCAGCGACCGAGTCTCCAAGCCGCTCGATTCCGATGAATGGATGGCTTACGTGCGGTCGGGCTCAGTGGGGGCGGAGTCTGTGCGTGTCTCTCTGACAGGCCGGGCCGCGAGCGCGGGCGGCGCGCTGCCAGCCCGCCAATGGGCGCGCTGCCCGGCGGACCGTGACGTCACCGATGATGTCAGGGAGCGGGCGCGGCGCGTGCAGAGGCGGGCGGCTCGTCCGGTTGGCAGTGGCGCCGGCGCGCTGAGACCGGCAGGTGCGCGGGTGGGGTGTGTGGAGCGGTTAGCCGCCGAGGTCTCATCTGACGCATACAGAGGCGACCTGCAGGTGGGTCCACTGGCCGGGCCCTCCTTCGAGGCATGGTGGTGTCGCCAGATCGCGGTGTGTGGCGGGCAGCACTCTCGTGCGCAGAGGCGACCTGCAGGTGGGTCCGGCCGGGCCCCCCTCCGAGGCGTGGCGGTGTCCCCAGGTCGCGGTGTGTAGCGGGTAGCACTTTCGTGAGTGAGATGCGTGCGAGTCGTGTTTTCCATGTGACAGAGGGAAGTACGCTCCGCAACGGAGTGACGGTGCTGGTCCGGTGCAAATCCAGTCACAACGCAAAGCACAGGGGGCAGTGCATCCTACACCCGCGTATGCCAGCGTACTGTGCAAACCAAACAGCGAACTGCGCGGGAATTTTGATCACTTTCTGCGCACGACTCATGAGTACCGTTAAACTTTGATCACCACTGTTTGGAAGCAATCGCTGCCCGCCCCCGCCGTCCGGCTCCCATGCCCTTGGCCTAGCGGGTCTGCGCCCAATATTGCTCCACCGCTGCCGGTAACAGGTCTCCATGCCGTCTCGCCCGCCGCCACCGTAGCCCTATGACTGCGGTGCCCCCTGAGATAGGTCAGGCAGATTCCCACACCTACTCGGTAAGTGGCGACCAGCCAGGGCTGTCTCCCCGCGCCACCATAACAAGGTATCGCTTTGTCTGCAAACCTGAGTAAGTTCCGCACCTGCCGTAGATTGGAATAGGCGCCCTCGTTCATGATGATGACAGGCGCGTTGCAACTCGTCATTGCGTCATCCGTTCAAGCTTGGCCGACAGCTGGCGCATGGCGCATGGCGCCCGGGCCCCTGTCCCAGGCTGGAGCGCGGCAGGAGGGTGCCAGGGGCGGTGCTCTCCGTCTGCGGCCCACGCGCTGCCACCGGCCGACCTTCGCACGAGCCACATAAGGAGCGGCGAGGCGGCCGCTGGGACCGCGTGCAGCACGAGTGCCCTGGCGGGCCGGGGGCGGCGCGGGGGCTGTGGCGCCCGCAAGCCGTTGGCTCCAAACAAGTTTGCGTGGGATGTTTCATGATTTTTGGTCGTGAGGGTTAGAAATGTGCCATTGAAATGTACACTTGGGATGATTCACAGCGAAATGAAAACACTGTTAGCTGGGGGTTAATCAATTCTGACAATAGACGACCTTCAATATGTCAGGAGGTACGTGCCAAGCGACACTCTCAAGCAGCCGCTGGCAATATTCAGACATACCTGGAGTGCTTCAGCTTAAATTTGAGCTTAGTTTTAATGTTGTCAATGTAGCCAATGCGTGCTTGATAACGTGGTTAACACATATATCCGGGTACCTTCGATGTCGATCCCTGTCAGAGTAAGAGCGGACCAACTCACAATACCGAAAATCAGGAGGTCAATGCCTTACCTATATCAAAATAGTAACCCATTATTCATTAGAGTAACAGCCAAAGCACAACTTGTATTCACCCGCTGAAGCTAATGGCCTCGTCGGTATGCACCACAGCCTTCGGAGTATCTGATGGCTTAACTTTCACAGACTTACTGGAAAGACCTCACACAGGTCATTTTGGTTCATATTACCGGTGATCAGAACTAGCCTTTTGATCGTACCGCTGATTACGGAGAACGTGGCCGTTATTCGTCCCAGAATGTAGCGATCGGTATGTGCTGTTAAGACGGTGGCCCTTCTCAAGATATTCGGCAAAAAAGCAGGCGTCGGAGCAGATCGCGGTTTTGCCAATGATGTCATGTCTCGCCAATGCCCCTCTTCCGCCCATGTTGCGAGGCAGCCTGCTCTGACTCACCAGGCGCGGGCCTCAGTGGCTTACTGAGGCTTTGTATAGACGCTAATAACAGCGTGGACCACAGCGCGGATTCCACCTCTCTGTGGACGCCATCTGACAGGTACCTTTAAGACAGCTGGTCGGGACAGACCAAGAAACAAACATCTACTGACCCGATACGACGTGTGTGTATTCCAGTGATGCATGGCTGCTCCGCCTCGCCATCACGGGCTGTTCGGAGGGGCTGTGACCGCGGGGCTCGCTGTGCCCGACAGGTGGCCCGCTGTGTCCGACAGGTGACGCGCTGTGTCCGACAGGTGGCCCGCTGTGTCCCACGGGTGACCCACTGTGTCCGACAGGCGGCTCTCTGTGTCCGAGAGGTGACCATCTGTGTCCGACAGGTGAGCGGAGGACGGCCATGCCTGGGCCGGTCGGCTAGCGGGCCATGCCGACCCTGCTGGCGGCGCCGCTCGCCCCCCTCCGTCGCTCCGGCAGCCAGCGCTCGGACGCCGGCCGGCGCGTCACCTTCCAGCGCGGCGCCGGCGAGCGCAGGTCGAGCGCGCGCCCGTCACCAGCGGCGCCCCGCCGCCTGCCGCCGCCGACCGGCGCCGAGGAGCGCGAGCGCGAGGCGCGCCAGGTCGTGCGCCAGCTGGACGCCGCGCGCTGCGAGGTGGCCACCACCCCGCGCCCCTTCGACAACGGACTCCGACCGCCGCCGGCGACGCAGCAGCCGCTCGCAAGAACGCTGTCGGTGCGCAGACGCGGCAAGAAGGCCGGTGTGAAGTCTGTGAGCACTAACACGCTACCGGTGCCACCGGCGCGTAGCGTGGATCTTGAGACCGACAAGAACAACATCATCAAAGCGGCGTCTTTGAAGAGAGAGCAGGGCGGCGAGCTCAGTCGACTTCAGGTGGACGGCCTTCTAAAGCGCAGCTCCAGCCAGGTCAACCACCTCAACAACCTCAACAGCCTACAAGGCAGCGTCGACCACAACAACTACCCGGAGAAGCGGCTGGACAGCGAGCTCAGCCCCCTGAGCGATTACCAGGACTTCAGACTCTCTAACAAAAATAACTTGGGCAACAAGTCCGCCGACGTTGCAGCAGTGCGGGGCCCACAGCGTGCACGCTCTCGCAGTCCGACAGAGGTAGACGGTCGGCCGGTCGGGGCAGACGAAGTCATGCCGCGCCTGTCGCCGCCGCCGCGGCCCGAACGGCCGGCGGCCCAGTACCGGCCGCGCGGCTTCAGCTACACGGGCCATGACCAGACAGTGCAGGACCAGAGCCGCCAGATCATCGAACAGATCGCGCGCTCCCGCTCGCGCTCGCCGGAGGCCCGGCCGGCGCGGCCACGACCGCGGCTGACTACCAGCACGTACGAGTCTGACTCGCCGAGGCGGTCGGGGTCTTACGACTACGACCAGCCACAGACGGCCGGCTCCTGCGGCTTCGACCCGTCGATGCTGTCTAATACGTACGACTATGATCCACCGAAGCTGTCGACCTCATACGACTACGAACCGCCGAAGCTCTCGACCTCATACGACTACGACCCGCCGAAGCTTTCGACCTCATACGACTACGACCCGCCGAAGCGGTCGACCTCTTACGACTACGACCCGCCGAAGCTTTCGACCTCATACGACTACGACCCTCCGAAGGCGTCGAGCACGTACAGATCGGACCTGCCCAAGCCTGGCCGTGCGTTCGAATCAGCGCCTGGTTCGAATCAGCCAACGGTAACACGCACGTATCGCTACGAGTACGATGCCACCGGCGAACCACGCACGTACCTCGATGACTCTCCTGAGACCACAACGAGGACGTACCACTTCAAAAGCGACGATCCGGAGCCGACCTGGACTTTCCAGCACAGCAGCACCGACTCCAGCCAGAAACGTCGCCGCGAAGCGCCGGAAACGACGCGCCCGCGCCACTTCCAGGCTGACAGGCGTGATTCGGCGCCGACCCTCAACAGCGAGCCGCCAGAGGCGCGCCGCGACCGCTACGGCTCCAGCATCGTGATGATCGGTGGCGAGAGGCCGCCTGAGATCGTCAGCACGTTCAGCCGGCGCTCAGAGACGACGGCGGAGCGCGCGGCCGCCTCCCCGACCCGCCTGAGCACGGTGCGCGAAGGCTCCGTCCCCAGCGACGACCAGCAGCCGCACTATCGGGCGCCGCGCGGCGCGCCGACCACCTCGGACAACGTCATCCGGCTGTCGATCAGCGGCAGCCACAGCTCGGGCGCGCAGCCGTCGCCGCCGGGCTCGCAGTCGCGGCGCGGCCGCAGCCACTCGAGCGAGCGGCGCGGGGCCGGCCGTCGCGACGGCAGCTCGTCCGACTCGCCGCGCCGCGCCGAGCCGAGCGAGCGGCGTCGCGCCGGCGGCGCCACGCTGGAGAAGGCGCGCCGCCGCGTCGAGCGTCACCGGCAGCCGCGCAGCCAGCGCAGCAACGGCGTCTCCATCCGCTTCATGTACGACGACGACCAGGCCGAGCCGCCCGACCAGCGGCTGGCCAAGTACGTCGAGTACACGGGCAGCGACGGGGAGGCGCCGGACGGCCGGCCGCCGGGCAAGAGCGACGGCCGGCGCGCGGGCAAGACGACCCGACGCTCGGACGGCTCGCTCACACACCTGATCGAGAACAGTCGCGAGTCGGCTTCGGAGCGACGCGACGGCCGCGGCGGCTCCCCCGGCCGCGCTGATCACAAACGGCCGCAGGTGAGTGGGGCGCCGACATGAGGCCGTGCGTGACATTCAAACTCCGTCGTCCTCGGATTCTGACGATGTGGCAATGTGGCGTGCCAGACATGAGATTTAAGAGCATCGTGGGATGACACAACATAGCGCAGGCATTGCAGCCAGTGCATTCCAGGGCATGCATTTTAGTGCGGATGAGAGAGAAGGCCTTCTTATATGGATGCACGCTGTTCTTGATGAGAAAGATCTAGATGTTCCAGATTTTCTCGATCCGTGCGCTATCATTATTCTGAGTCATACAATAGTTCTCTTTACCTTCAAGGCTGGCTTATTTCGTTGCATGGTCAGAATCAGGTGACTGTGTTTGAACTTCGCATATTGCACTTGCGTGACCTTGTTCCTTTCGCAAAGTCGAGTGAAGTCGCACGACGAAGCTGTCTTGCGCAGTTACGGTGACAGAGGACATGATAAATAGTTCAACTTCGGCTTCAATTTGATTACTACTTCACGTCTGTACCGTGATGATATTATCAAACACGATTACTACTTCCTTGCTCATATCAGTCAGGACACGATGGTGAGAGAATCGTTGAACGCAGTTAGCGGTATTCGACCCACGCCTCAAACGGCGTGCACGAACGATCGACACGGCCGGATGTTGTGGGCGTTGTTATCCAGAAGACCGCCGGTCTGAGTTTTGATGTGGCCCCTACCGCCGGTCTGAGGTGTGACGCGGCCCCCAGCGCGACTGCACGACCGCCCGCCGGTCTGAGGTTCGACGCGGCCCCCAGCGCGACTGCGGGACCGCGCGTCCGGCTGCGGTCATGAACTCAGTGGCCCATCCGACACCAACCTTTCGTCGGCACACTCGCGCGGCTCAAACCTGACCAGTGCCGGTCTTATGGCGCTCCTGAAAATGAACGGATGCACCGTGTGGGTCCTGTAGTTATCTGCGCTTGGATACAGGCGCTGAACTTGTCGTTTATATAAGCAGAGCTGGCTGTCCAGCCAGTCGGTAGCGTGCGGAACTGTGACTGAACATTTCCGGCTCGAATTCACTTTATATTCGGCCGGAGTCGCGTTGTGACATCACAGTGTCAGCACAGAAGCAGCGTCTGCGCCGGCCCCAGACGGACGTGGCGTGCATCGGCTTACCGGCCAACTAGGACGCGAGACAATGCAATCGCGCGGAGATCACAGTCCCAGCTTAGGGGCGGATATGGAAATTGAAACACTGAAGTGCGCAGTGAAAGCACAGGCGCCAGCAGACCAATAGGTCCGGAAAATTTGGGACGGACTGGCCCGAGAAGCTGGAGTAAGACAAAAGCTCAGTTATCATCATTGGTTCAACTAATTATCACGTCGTCTGGTTTGGCGATTACTAGAGAACGCTTCGAAGATACTCGATGGTTAGGAGAGTTGATACGAGCAAAACGGCTGATGATGACCTTACGCGTCATCAGTATGGCAGAGCACCCCAGATCTGCGGGCAGCGAGGCTGCTGGCTGGCACCCTCCCTGACGACGTCGCGCCGCCGCTGTTCCAGGGCGAGTGGCGCTCCCACGGCAGCGCGGAGGACCGGGTGGACGCCGGTCACCGCCGCTCGGAGAGGTGGTCGAGCCGCACAGAGACGGTCGCGCGCACCGACCGGCACCGGAAGACGGTGAGTGCAGAGCCGGCGCTGTCGCCCGACGCGCCGCCGCCCCGGTCGGGCCGGTCCGGGTTCGGGCGGCGTGGGAGAGGCGGGGGCCCGCCGCCGCCGTGCTCGCGCGGCCGTTCCGCCGCCGTGGCTGCCCAGCCGGCGGCGGTGCACCGAGCAGGCCGCTGTGAGTGCCGCCGGCGCCAGTCAATGGCAGGAGGCAGCCGGTCTGGTAGACCAAGCAGCTTGCCAATGAAAGGCCTCTTTTACACCATCCGTGATTCTTGGTGTGCGGGATTTCGGATGTACGCATAACTTTCGGGAACGCCGACATTTCACCCAGTTAGCTGCATCCGTGTACAACTTGGATGCAAGGTTACCGCAACTACGATAGCAGGTCCAGCTGGCACACATCACGTGACACTGCCCGGCCGTCTGAACTGCTGAGGCCGACTACGTGTCGGAAATGTGTGCTAACCATGACGGGTGTGTCTTCAGGATGAGGGCGGGTCTTCCGTCTCCAGCGAGGAAGGCCGCCACCCCCATTCATCATCGACTCGCCACGGAGAACCCTCATCCAGCCAGGCTGTCCGAGACAGCTCGAGCTCCCCGAAGCCGGCGTCCAAGACCAAGAAGAAGGGCTGGCTGTCGGCGACACTCAGTCGACTGGACCTGAAGTCCAGCAAGTCGGACCGCGCCAAGAAGCGCGCCACAAGCTCTCCCGCGCAGCCGGAGGCCCGACGTTCCCAGTCGCCGACCGGCGGCGGCTCCCGCCAGCAGAGCCCGGAGCCGCGGGACGGCGCGCGTCACGTGGCCGCCGGCCGGCGGCGACGGTCGCGCTCCGGCAGCAGGGACGGACTCGACACCTCGGAGGAGCACAGCGTCACCGCCAGCCGACGCCGGGAGCAGCGCGTCTCCACGGGCCGGCGGGAGACGCGCTCCGAGGTCACGAGGTCTGGGAAGCGGCGAGAGACGCGCGCCGAGGACCGGCGAGAGAGACGCTCCGAGGAGCGGCGAGGGGCGAGCCCCGACGACAAGCGGGAGGTGAGCACCGAGGACAGGAGAGGAAGGCGGTCCGAGGGCCGACGAGAGAGACGCTACGAGGGTCACCGAGAAGGCTCAGAGGATCCGCGAGATGGACGCTCCGAGGACCGGAGAGAAGCGAGCTCCGACGACCGGCGGGAGAGACGCTACGAGAGCCGGGAAGTGAGCTCTGAGCACCGGCGGGAGAGACGTTACGAGGACCGTCGCGACAGGCGCTCTGAGGAGCGGCGCGACAGGCGCTCTGAGGAGCGGCGTGACAGGCGCTCTGAGGAGCGGCGCGACAGGCGCTCTGAGGAGCGACGCGACAGGCGCTCTGAGGAGCGGCGCGAGACAAGCTCCGAGGACCGGCGGAGACGATCTGAGGAACGGCGCGACACACGGCCGGAGGACCAGTGGGAGGGGCGGTCCGGGGACCGACACGCCTCGCGCTCTGAGGAGAGCCGCAGACGCAGCCATAACGTCACCTCGTCTGGCCGGCGCGAGTCGCACCGCTCCAGCGACAGGGAGGGCCGGTCAGGCGTCTATGAGGAGGTGCGAGGGCGCGGCGGCCGCACGACCGAGCGTCATCAGACGTCCAAGACCACGGAGCGACGTCCCGTCTCGCGCAGCACCAGCTTCTCGCGCCGGTACCCGGAGGACGCGGTGGACGGCACCGTGCGGACGGCGCGCAGCGGCGCCGGGCGGCGCACGGCGCGGCTCTCGAGCGACGCGTCGTCGCCGCGCCGCGGCCAACACAGCGTCGCGTCATCGCTCAACAGCAGCGGCAGCGAGGCGGGCAGCCGCGCGCCGGCCGCCAGCCGCGTCAGCAACGCCTCCAACCGCTCCGTGTACCTGCATGCCACGACTGTGGCTGACATCCCGACGCCAGCCGGCGGCGCTGAGCCGGCCGAGCCGGACGGGGCGGACGAGCCGCTGCCGAGCCGCGAGCGGCGCAAGGTGTCGCGTTCCTTCTCCATGCTCTCGCCGTTCAAGCTCAAGCACCCGCGCGAACGCGAGATCAACTACGAGAACCGCGGGGGGCAGGCAAACGGACGGCCACCGCGCGCGCCGCAGCGGTCGCCGCAGCGCCGTGACTCCCACGACACGGAACTGACGGAGCCGGCGACCGGCCGCCGCCGCCAGCCCGTTTCGCGCTCATCCAGCATGCCCAAGGGCTCGCGCTCGGCCGGCTGGTACCGTGCTGAGGACCGGCCAGCACGCTGAGTGATGTCATCAGGTGAGTCTAAGAAGGGGCTTCGTGCACCCAGCGCGGGAGTTGCCATCAGGTGAGTTTGAGTTCGAGTTTGAGTCCGCTTCATCGTCCGTCACAAGATGGGCCACACGCACTACGCATGCACCTAAGCACTTCTAGCAGCGATTTAGCATAACCTCTTTTTCACCTGAAAACATTCATCGCCTACCGGTGCGTAGGCAGGCTGATAACCATGTTTTGCATCAGAAACAAACATTAAACCCGTCTGCAACGGAAATGGCTATAACGGCGTCCAAGAGTAGATACATGCACCGGCTTATTCGGCTTGGTCTCATTAGGAGCCTTATCCCTGGCATCAGCAAACCAGCTCCATACCGGCCGCGCCGCAAAGCGCCGCAGGGACGTGACGTCATGAGTTCTGCCGCCCACCCTCGAGTCGGCGCGCCCACGCGCGGTCGGCAAACCAGTCCAAGCTGGGCGCCGCCCCGGCCGGTCGCTGCGCGTTGAATGCTCGGCCGAGCCGCCTACCTGGCCGGCCGGCCGCCGCCAGTGCCGTGGGCAGCACGCTCGGATGCAGTCACCGGCAGGTGGCCATCAGTGCGATTTCGGATGGGGAGATCCAGGCTCCATTAACTCAGCGCAGCGCGAGGGCCTGACCGACTGAGGTCATTGCAGGTCCTCGGTAGGGCACGGGTTATGTGAGCACGTGAACACGCCAGGTGACGACTAGCCGTGTCCATTGCCCCCCCCCCCCCCCCCCCCCCAGCACGACCGCCGCCAAAACCCCCCGTTCCATGGCTCAAGTGGCCATCTACCTATGCAGGCCATCCTGGGACAAAGCCTGAGACGGCGGCCGTGAGTTTGCTAGCCGTGGTGTTCCCGAGTGAAAGCGCGGGGCGACGTACTTATGTAATGCCAAGTCCCACTGTGAACTTCAAGCATGTCGGGACGCCAGCTGATTTCGGGAGTGCTCAGATCGGTCCGTCTGAGTGTCGTGCCTTTCGAAAATCCGTCCCGGCGCTGCGCAGACGCCGCCGTCTATCTGATCGGCACCGCCACCACTGTGACGTATTTCAGACAGATTTTGCATACGTGCACACATGCTTAAAATATGTTATCGATTGCGAATCAGCAGCTTGAGGTACCTTTCCGCTGACTGATGCGCCGAGGTCTCAGACAGTGCATGAATACATCGGCATCCGTTGGAGACGCGTGCGACGCACACTACAACTGCGGCGCACGCTGCGACTCCGCTGCACTGCGACTCCACTGCACTGCGACTCCACCGCACTGGGGCTCCACTGCACTGTGACTCCACTGTACTGCGACTCCACTACACTGACTCCGCTACACTGCGACTCCACTGCACTGTGACTTCACTACACTGCGACTCCACTACACTGCGACTCCACTGCACTGCGACCCCACTGCAATGTGACTCTACTGCACTGCGACTCCACTGCACTGCGACTCCACTGCACTGCGACTCTACTGTACTGCGACTCCACTGCACTGCGACTCCACTGGTTTTCGTCCGAACCTGTTTTCCCCTTGTCGGTGCACGCGAGGCTACGACGAGGGGTGCACTCTCCGTCACCGGGCCGTGGAGCGCCAGCCACCAGCGAGGACCGTCAGTCATGGCGGCAGAGAAGGCCTGTCGCTAGATGACACGGACCGGGTCCGAACTGTGCCCGTGGGGTCGGGTCTGGCTCCGCGGGTCACAGGCCGGGTCTGCTACGGCGTGACATGGGCCTGGTCTGTCATTGAATGACAGGGACCTCGTCCTCTGTTGTGTAGCACGGACCCGGTCTGTCATTGAATGACACGGACTTCATCCTTACTGTTAGGCGCGGAACTGGTCTGTCATTGGATGAATCGGAACATGTCTTCCACTGTTTTGCACTGACCTTGTCTATCATTGCATAACACGGGCCCGGCCTTGTCACGGGCCTAATCTGCGACTGTGTGCGATGGGTCGGGCCTGCCATTGTGTGGAATAGGCCTAGTCTATTTCTGCGTGACATGGACTCGGTCTGCTACTGCGTGGCATTAGCCTGGTCCTCTTCTGCGTGACACAGGTCTGGTCTGCCTCTGCGTGAGACAGGCGGGATTTGCCGTTGTGTGGCACATGTGCTGTTGTTTGGCACATGTAAGGTCAGGCACTGGGAGATTAGAATAGGGTCCTTTACCGTACGACACGGCTGTCTCTGCCGTTGCATTACGCAGGTGGGTCTGTCCGATCATGGCACACTTTCGACCGCGGCTGGGACGGCGGCAGCTTTCTGTGATGGTCAGTTGGCTGACGTCTGGCTGTCCGTGCTGGTGGACTGGTTTTATTTGTCTCGTGGGACCAGTCTCACACGTGTGGCCGGGGCGGTGCGCATATCGCGGATCTCGCTTCCGTGAAACCGGCCTCACGTGCGCGCACCGGCCGTGAAGAATGCATGGGTTCCTTCACCCCCTGCGGCCGGCTGTGCAGATCACACCTGTGACGTCACGCGACGACAACGGGCCTGTGTTTAGCGTCGTTAGACGAGAGGCTGGGTGACTCCGGCGCTTTCACAATACATCTTGCTTGTCTGCGGAGGCGTGGTCATACATCCTTTGAATCAGAATCTAGCTCTCTCCCTAAGTATTTTCGCTGTCCCGCTGCCCCCACCAGTCGTCGGAAATCATTAACGCCGCGTGCGCTTTTTATTCCGCCGATTACACGCACCAGTTCCAGCCGGAGGCGGCGACTGCACGTGCGACAAGGAGCGAACCACCACCGCTACTTCCGTGTTCCTGCGTTTAGTCGCGGGGTTCCTCGGCAGTCCCGCCGTTTATGAGGTGGCGAATATCCCTCGTTGCCCCGCCTTCTACGCCGACCGTGGGGATTTGCAGGGGATCTCTCGCTGCACTCTGGTGTTTTGTGGTGAGGAGACACTGGCGGATAGCAGCAGCCGTTCGCACATTCACTCGGTTATTTTGCAGCGACTATATATGGGTAGCCACAGGCGCCGATCCGTGGTTTCATGGAAAGCGACTGTCAATTTGATCGCTACGCGACAATAGGTGGGTAAGTTGGTATTTTTCGTACGAGCCATGTCGCGAAGGAATTCTTCGTGTCAGGTTACGCTCAGCACAGCGTCAACAGCTTCCTGTGAGTCCTTCACACACCTTAAAGAAACATGCGCTTGCCCCCGAGCCTTCGAATGTGCCAGCTGCCCATGACGGGCTGAGCGGTGACGGGGCGCTGCCTGACAGCAGCTACACTTCCGAACACAGCGCACGCTCCCCGCCGTCGCGCGCCCCACCAGCGCTGGCCTCGGGCGGCGGACGTTGCGTTTTATACCCATCATGTATTTAGCTTATAACTACCTGTGCCCCCTTTATTGAGATCGCACAAACATGCTGGTGTGGATGCAGTTCAGCTGGTCGGGAGGGTGCGGTGGCGGTGTGCCTCATTCGCAGCAGATGTGCCGGGCCGAGGCGGTGGGCGCATCGCCTCTGCTCAAGGTCACGCGCCTCCGAGCGGCCGGCCGAGCGGTCGCCGCCGCGCCGCCCCGGCCCCTTCCCGTTCACAGTCAGGCGGCCGGCGCCCCACGGCACGTGACGCGGGCTTGTCGCGGGCTGTACGTGCTGTAGAGCCGTGACCTTTCTTTCGAGCTGCTTTGCCGCGCGTCTGTCTGCAACGGACATCATTGCTGCAATATTTCGCCACGGTTGCGTGGGGAAAAACAGATACACTCCGGTAGCGGGTCTCGAACCCACAGCACATTGGTCTGGAGACAAGTGATGATATTTATATCGCATACAGGCGAGGTCCAGTCTTCTTCGAGCAAGAAGGTGCATGGCCCCAGGCGTTTTAGGTTGATACGAGCGCTGGGGCCAACGATCCATGTAAATGTGAAGACTTCGGGCTACGGAATCTGCTCCGGCACGCAGCGTGTTGCGCCTGAACGCTCGGCGCAAGCCAATGCGGGTAACGCATTCGAGCTTACATACTGGGACCACCTGGGCCATTGCCACTGACATTGTGGAATTCGAGACAATTTGTGTCCTCTCTCATTTGATGCAGCCTGATCTGGTCCGACCAAATCTGACCTGGGCGTATCTGACCTGACCCGATCTGATCTGGCTCAGGGATGGTGACGCCCTTTACTGGATGACGTCTACTGTATGTCATAAATCCTGGGCGTCTGTCAGAAGCAGATGACATGGCCTGAATTTGCATGTTCCGCCGCTTTTAAGGGACCCGAAACACGACTGGTCTGGAGTTCATTGACCTCGGGTTGCCACGCTATCGTTTAGGCCGTTCATTGCATGGCCTTCTCTCAGAGGGTTGGGTCGGTGGATCTGTCATGCAACAGCTTCCTTGATGCAAGTTTTCATCGATGCGTTTAGACTGGTGGGCCGCATTACAGAGCTCCAGCCATTACTGTTCCTTCAGTGTCACCTCTCTACATGAGCCGTTTCAGGTACACTAAAACACGTGAGTGTGGTGTGAGCCTTCATAAAGCATTTCCTCATTTGTAGATCCTTCAGTGTCACCTCTCTACATGAGCCGTTTCAGGTACACTAAAACACGTGAGTGTGGTGTGAACCTTCATAAAGCATTTCCTCATTTATAGACATGCGCATTTGTAGGTGTTTGGGTAGGAATTTGTAGCTTATGTAGGGCATGCAGGAGTTTGTAGGTCTACTACGCTTGACGGGTAGTTTACATAAAATAGATCACATTTGGGACCAAGTGGAAATTACATGTCAAGACTTACTTCAGCGTTGCTCTACTCGCCCAACGTGTCATGTTAGGGCTACGATTTCAAGCCTTCTCACGGGCGGCGAGACAAAGTGAAAGCTTCGTGCGAAATTGTTCGGAAAGTTTGGAAACCTGTGCCCCCGAATTGCAAGGTAATGTACCAGGCGTTGCCTTTTATGGGATGCGCATGCATGCACCGATGTAGACACCAGTGGAGTCCCGTAGTCTCGCAACGTTCATGGCACGGGGATGTTGGCGAGATCCGGCGCT